ATCCCAACATTTTGGGAGGCCAAGGTAGATGGATTACCTGAGGTCAGGAGTTCGAGACCAGCTGACCAACATGGTGAAACCCCGTCTCTACTAAAAATACAAAAATTAGGCATAGTGGGGTGCACCTGTGATCCCAGCTACTCTGGAGGCTGAAGCAGGAGAATTGCTTGAAGCCAGGAGGTGGAGGTTGCAGTGAGCTGAGATTGTGCCATTATACTCCAGCCGGGGCAACCAGAGCAAGACTTCATCTCAAAAAAAAAACAAAAAACAAAAAACAAGATGATGAAGAATTCATGTTGCTCATATTGCTTTTAAACTTCAGCTCAGATTGTTTCATTAAGTCAGGAATCATTTTATTAACAAAGATCACAAAAAGTTCAGCATTATTAAGGCCCTAGCCTAGTATATCATCCATATCCCCAGATCTAGTGTCTGCACACCTGGATTTAAAGTGTCTCTTTTAAGCTTCATTGCCTGAGGCATTTCCAGAAGGAATCCTGTTAAGTGAAAAAATAAGGCCTTTCATGAGGGATGCTGGACCACTTCCGTTGCCACTTCAAACATGTTCTGACTTAATCTCTAGAGAACAGCCTTCTCCAATAAATTGTCCACCAGCACATCTAATTCTTGGCTTGTTTCTAAAAGTCTGCAGGTTCTTTCATGAGGTCACTTTTTTAAGCTTAAATATCTACTTTGCTTTGAAAATCTGTTTTCTCCCTTTTCAAAAAGAGCATACCAGAAGTTAAAATTGGATCATTTTTAGCAAGCTGCATCGGACATCTGGAGTGAATTGAAGAGTATGAATGTCATAGTATGTTACAGCAAAGACTGTCAAGTCTAATTTTTGCAGATCTACTAAATCTGAAAGGACAGTCTGGACAGCTAGCAGTTTTGATTGTTGAGCTGAGGTGTGTTTCCTAAAGTTATTCTTAAAATCAGAGAGGTTAAACAAAACCTGCAGCGTGGTCCTACTTGAATAGCGATGCAACGGTGATAGGAAATATCTTTATCATCTATATTATAGTCTCTTATAATTAGAGTTGAAAGAGGCTTGAGATCTTGTGACTGTTTACCAGTACCTCATTCTAGTCAGATAGTATCTAGTATCCATTGAGCTACTTATAGTAATAATTATATTTTGCCCTTGATATGGTTTGGCCATGTCCCCACACAAATCTCGTCTTGAATTGTAGTTCCCGTAATCTCCATGTGTTGGGAAAGGGACCTGGTGGGAGGTAATTGAGTCATGGGGCCGGTTACCCTCATGCTGTTCTTGTGATAGTGGGTGAGTTCTCATGAGATCTGATGGTTTTATAAGGGGCTTTTCCCCTTTTGCTTGGCACTTCTCTCTCCTACTGCCTTGTAAAGAAGGATGTATTTGCTTCCCCTTCGCCATGATTGTTAAGTTTCCTGAAGCCTTCCCAGCCATGTGGAACTGAGTCAATCAAACCTCTTTCCTTTATAAATTACCCAGTCACAGGAATTTTTTAATAGCACCATGAGAATGGACTAACCCCTGTAAATTAATAAGTAGATATTCTGGTCTCTGTATATTTAATATTTTTGCTAGAATTCACTGCTGAAACCCTGTGGGCTAGGAATTTTCATTGCAAAAGGATGTTTGATAACAAATTGAATTTATTTAATAGATATAAGGCTATTCATATTTTCTGTTTTGGGTCCATTTGTGTAAGTTCTGTTTTTAAGGAATGTATCCTTTTCATTTAATTTGTCAAGCTTATTGGCATAAAATTATTCACAAAAGGCTCTTAACATCTTTTAAATATCTGTAAATGATGTTACATGTTGTAATATATCCTCTTTCATTGCTGATACTGGTAATTTATAGTCTCCTTTTCTTGATCAAGCTCCATAGCAGATTATCAATTTTATTTATCTTTTCAAAGAACCAATTTTGACTCTGATAATTTTCTTGGTTGTTTATTTTTATTTTTATTTCACTGATTTTTGCTGCTTATTATTTACTTCTTCCCTACTTAGTTTGGTTTTACTTTGATCTCTTTCTAGTTCCCTAAATTGGAAATTTGGATCCTTTATTTTAAACCTTTCTTGTTTTCCAAAATAACATATGGGCTGTAAATTCTTCTAACCACTGTTTTAGTTATACACTTCAAATTTCTTTAAATGCTTTATTGAGGTGTAATAACTGATATAAACTGGACATAT